TAGTATTGTGACAATGTACATCATTATTCATTGCAAAGCTTATATTAGATTTCTGCGTTTTGTTTAATATTTTATAAATCAATTTGATTTGTTCAAACTCCAATACTACATCAAGTCTAGAAATATTTATTTCGCTATACAGTTTGTCTGTGCTAGTTAGTGCATCATAATTAAATAATATTTTCAAAATTTTGTTCTGAAGTATATGAACTGTGTTGAAACTAGTTTTACAGCATGTTCCCCAGACTGGCAATAAATATCTAAGGTGAGAAAGGAAAAAGGCATTATAAATACTGAGTTTAGTTTTATCAGTGAGGTAATTTCTACATTTGTATATTATTGGTATCATTGGCATTATTTTTTTGTAGTTATATTCGATATGTTCTGACCAGTTCAATTTATTATCAATTAAAAGGCCTAAGTATTTTATGTGTTGTACCTCTTCAATATCTAGATTATTAATTCGAATTTTTAAATTTTGCATTTGTTTGTTTTTTTGTTTAAATGTTATGAATTTTGTTTTATCTATGTTTATTTTGAGTTTATTACAATACAGCCAACTTAAATAGAGATTAAGATCTACATTAACTGTATTGTTTAGTGCCTTCTCCTCTCCCCCCTTATAGACTAAGACAGTATCGTCGGCAAAAGTATAGTACTGTGCTCCAATGCCAGCCAATTTCAAATTCAGTACGTATAGTGAGTATAGAAGGGGACCAAGGACGGAACCTTGAGGTACCCCGCATTCACTTATCAACATGTCACTATTTACATTACCCAACCTAACGTACTGCCTTCTACCCTCTAGGTAGGTTTTAATTATATTATATAATGTCCCTCTAAATCCCATGCAATACAGCTTTCTCAATAAAATGTCAGTGCTAACTACGTCGAAGGCCTTTCTCAAATCAACAAAAACTGCAACCACAAAAAGCCCCTCATCCAGTGCCCTAGATACATAGTCAACAAGGTCTACAGTCGCACCAAGTGTACTGCTATGTTTAACGAAACCATACTGAAACTGATCCACTTCTATATATTTATTAAGAAAAGACAACATTCTTTTTTTAATTATTTTCTCTATAATTTTTGAGAAGACACTTATTACTGCAATTGGTCTATAGTTATTCATATGTTCTCTGCTCCCAGATTTAAAAATTGGACATATTTTGCTAATTTTAAGCTCTTCTGGAAAAATACCTGTTCTTAAAACTACATTTACTAAGTTTGTTATGATTTTTATAACATCAGCTCTAAGGTTTTTTATGTCTCTGGCTGTTACCCCGTCATGTCCAGGAGCAGAGTTTTGTTTCAGTTCAGATATGATCTCGCCAATCTCCCGTTCATCAGTCAGGAAACTGAATCATTGTTTACACTAGAAATGTTGTTTATTGATTGCAATGTCAGGTTAAACTTGTTGATAAAATCACGACCTCCAATGATTGGTCCACCATTGTTTACTACATAAAATTTTATGTCCCTTTTCAAGTTATTAAAATAAACTTTTGTCACAAAAAATCCCAATGGTGCAATGTCTTGATTATCATAACCTTTAAGAATAATATTAGTCGGGGAGCTGGCGTCGAAAATATGCAAGAGTTTTCGCAAGGCTCATATTTTCAGAATGAGTAGCATTTTAGTGCTACAAAGCTAGGCTACAGTCAGCAGTTCCAGTTCCGGGACACCTGGCGCTGAGATGCGCGCAAAGGTGTATTTTTAATCAACACCTCGCAACAGTTTTCGCAAAGCTGAAAATTTGCAAAGAGCATGCGAATATAATGTAGAACCATAATTTAACAGTCAGACAAAGAAATACGGGGACACGTAGAGTCAGCGCGACTTTGAAGTGGTCAAAAAAATGACGTCACCGAAAGTGTTTTCGCATGGCTGAAATTTGGCAAGGTAATAGTAAAAACAATATATTTATTGAAAAAAACAGTCAGACACTTCTATGTCGGGACTCCCTCAGTCAGCAGTCGATTAAAGTGATATAGGTGGTAGCGCGCGTCAATAGTATTTTACTCTATAATGATCTACATTTTAAAAATATTTTTGTTTATGCGGTATTCCCGCTTCTACTCTAAGCCAGTGGCAACAGCGCTATTTTAAATGGAACACCCTGTGTGTGATTACATATTTCGATTCTTCGTAAAATTCTGAGCATATTTCATGTGATATACCCTATACCTAAGTTCAACTGTTTTGGAAATATTAACAGTTGAAAATTGACTTTTTGCAACTTTGACAGGCTGTAAAACCTGAACGGTTAATTTTGGAGAAAAACCAATTTTACATTCCTATCTTAGATTTTCATGAACTATCATTTGACACCAACTTTGAATTTAACCGAAGATTAAATTTAATTGAAATTTTTAATCATGGATTAAATTTGAAGTTGGTGTCAAATGATAGTTTATAAAAATCTAAGACAGGAATGTAAAATCGGTTTTTCTCTAAAATTAACCTTTCAGGTTTTACAGCCTGTCAAAGTTGCAAAAAGTCAATTTTCAACTGTCAATATTTCCAAAACAGTTGAACTTAGGTATGGGGTATATCACATAAAATCTGCTCAGAATTTTACGTAGAATCGAAATATGTAATCACACACAGGTTGTTCCATTTGAAATAGCGCTGTTGCCACTGGTTTATAGTAGAAGCGGCAACACCGCATAAACAAAAATATTTTTAAAGTGTAGATCATGGTCGTTTATCCCGGTTGCCAAATTTTCAAAATTATCCGCTTTTTAGTTCTCCATAAATGTCTAATACGCCATCTACCGTATATATCCATTTCGATGAATAATTTTATTTTTATAATTTAAATTATTTGGAATCGGAAACGGTAAAATAAAATTGTACATGCAGTTAAAAATATTAAAAAGTTTGCGGTTAGAAAAAAGCCCGATTCGTATAAATATTACTGGAACATTTAATCAGCAGTACTGTGATAGTATATAGTAATTAAATAAATTCAGTTTTAATTATATTTATTGTAGTTTCATTATAGTTATTAATGATACTAGTTCGATATGAACACCATAATGAAACGCGTGTAACGTTAAACCACGAGGCGTCAGCCGAGTGGTTTAGTTACACAAGTTTCATTAATTAAGTTCATATCGAACGTGTATCATTCAAAATTTAATCTACGATGGTCCAAATAGATTTGATTTGCCTTGAAATACCAAATACTTTTCAAATTAAAATTCAAAATTCAGCAGGTGCCCGTACTAGTCGGGAACCTGCTTGTTGATTTTTAGTATTTTGACTTTGGCAGCTTTAATATTGGAGTCAATTTTTGTGCGATAAACTCAGTTTTATAGTGGAAAATAATGTTAATATTGGTGATTCTGAGTTCGAAAGTGTCCCTTCAAATATCCAAACAGCATCAGTGAAAAGGTTCTTCTGATAACTAGCTTTCTTTTTGTATATTTTTCATTTCATAATTTGGGTGTTTTTATGAATTCTTAAACGCACTAGTGCTATTATGAAGGACCTAATGGCATTCAAATGACAATGCTAAATGTGTCATAATGACACCGACGTAGATTAAATACATATAATCGTCGCCGATTTTATAAAATACAAAAAAAAAATTCTAATCACTTAAATAGAAAAAAATTAATGGGGAAAAATTACAAAAATGAAATTCAATTTTCCAAATTACTGTCATCGTGTTCTTCACTACTTTCTTCGTCAGAATAAAATGCTACTGCTCCATATTCTTCGACGCCCTCTGTAGTTGTGGATTCCGAATCTGCGTAAAACAAATATTCAATGATAAGTAATCACTCACATTAAAAAACAAAATTTCGAATTATATCTATGAATTTATTAGCAAAAATTACCTGCAGATATTTCATCCGTTTTGTTTATCGGATGAATCACCCCTCTGACCCCGCTACCTCATTATGGAACAAAACAAATATGCTTGTTGATCCCTCTAGCAGTTTAAAGCTCGATGGTTGTCGCACATCTGCCGCTTCCGTTCCCCTAATCTCGACCTAACAGTACCATAATGAAGTTTCCGAATTCGAATGCATATACGCCTTATTCAAGTATACGCGCTTACGCTTGCAACTTACAGGTTTACACTTACTCATTAAGAGAAATTTATTTTTATTTTACCGTTTCCGATTCCAAATAATTTAAATTATAGAAATAAAATTATTCATCGAAATGGATATATATAGAGTAAAATTCTATTGACGCGCGCTACCACCTATATCACTTTAATCGACTGCTGACTGAGGGAGTCCCGACATAGAAGTGTCTGACTGTTTTTTTCAATAAATATATTGTTTTTACTATTACCTTGCCAAATTTCAGCCATGCGAAAACACTTTCGGTGACGTCATTTTTTTGACCACTTCAAAGTCGCGCTGACTCTACGTGTTCCCGTATTTCTTTGTCTGACTGTTAAATTATGGTTCTACATTATATTCGCATGCTCTTTGCAAATTTTCAGCTTTGCGAAAACTGTTGCGAGGTGTTGATTAAAAATACATCTTTGCGCGCATCTCAGCGCCAGGTGTCCCGGAACTGGAACTGCTGACTGTAGCCTAGCTTTGTAGCACTAAAATGCTACTCATTCTGAAAACATGAGCCTTGCGAAAACTCTTGCATATTTTCGACGCCAGCTCCTGGACTATATTGTCTGTTTTTAATTGGCTCATGTATGTGAACAGGGATATAAATAAAAAATAGTGATTTTGAGATATTAGCTTTTTAAGTTTTTTTAACTTTTGAATATTTAATTTCAATATAAAAACTATTGATCTGTCACGCACTTTTTTTTAGTATGAAAGGTTTAACTTTTTTGTAGGTAATATTTTATTTTTGTCAAATTATAAAAAATGGCCAGATTTTGAATTTTTTTTGAAAAAAAAATTACATATACCTCTTTTCACAAAATTTTATTCAGTTTTAATCTTGAAATATGCATATAGAAAAATATAAGTAGGCAAAGAAAGATACATTTTCTGAACTATTATTAAAAACTAATCTTCCTCTGAGTCATCTGATTCGTCGGGTAGAACGTCTCTAACATCAGCTGTTGTGATTAGGTTTTTATAAAACTCATGGAATGTTTCGCTAACATAGGGTAGCATTTCAATGAGATTATTTTTTTTCTCTCTACTTATGGGGTTTGCACCTTTATAAGTCTCAGGAACTTTAAATTTTTTTGGCCAAGTTTTCCCTTTTCGCAAAAAGCTCAATTTCCGAAATGTTTCTTCTTCATCAAGGGATGTTTTATAAAGTATAATGCCCGGTTCTTTGGAATAACATAGCCATTTGATGTCTTTCCATACTACTTTTTGGCCATCTTCATTAACTTTTCTTTGTTGAAGAAACGTTTTAAGTAATGCAGAATATTCAAAGAAATGATTGCGGGACATTTCAATGACTTCGAAAGGTTTTTTCACACCACATACACGAACAAGATTTACCCAGTCTCTTGGATGTTCAATAGGACATGGATATTTTTTTTTCTTCTTTTCAATAATGGAATGATCATTATCACATTCCATGTGCGTATGCCCAGGGGTAAGAAATTTGTGGTTAATTTTCTCAATGTTAGGAAACTCCTGTAAAGCAAGCATGAACATTATGGACACAAAGCAGTTTTTGTTTTGTCCTGCACATGTATCGGAATAAAATGTTATTTCCTTAATGCTTGCAGGAATAAGTCTCAGGTGCTTAAATAAGCAGGAAGCTATTTGATTGGCTCCTCTAGCTGCTACTGCTTCGTGCCACATGTAACAAAAGGCTTGTTGGTCCCTACACCTATGAACTGTTAGGTTGAATGTCCAGAGTTGCCTCTTATAAAAAGCCACAGATGTTTTAATGTCTGGAGTAGGTAGGCATTGCTGAAGGTCAAAACTGAAGACTTCTTTTGTTTTATCGTTTAAAGCATATTCTTTATCAATGCGTTTTGCCTCAAAACCAGCCTCAGCTTCTTTTTGATGCTTACTTAATTCAGATTCCAAATTCGTTTTTGCTTCGTCACTGTTTGCTTTTATAAGCATATTAAATTTGTCACACTTGGCACACGTATCTTTTTTCAATAACTTTATTTTCAAACCCATGGAATAAAATACCCTTTCGTAAACAAATCTTGATACAATCCGTCTTCCCTCTGGAAGCCAATTAACATATTCCCTGTAAAGAGAAGCCAGAGTGTAAAAGTGCGGAAGATATCTTTTATCTCCTGTTTTTTTCTGGAGTAGTGACTTTCGTACGAAGGTATTGAATTAATATGTTCTTTTACTAATTGCAAATCAGCATCAGGAATCTTGTTTGCGGAAGAGGACATGCCCCTTTTATCATCACGACAGACACCAGAACTGGATTCTGCCTTATTTTTTAAAACATTAGTGACAAATCGGTTTGATTCATCAAAAGTTTTTAAGAAGCATTGCTTGCAAACTCTTAGTTGCTCTCCATTATAGGGCAAATGAAATATATGTGTTACCAATCTGTTTTTTTGTTTCGAAATATGTTCTGTTTTGCGTTTTGCACATTTTTTGGGTTCTGTTCTTATCAAAGAAGCAATAAAAGCAACACGTTTATTAAAGCTTTTCATCTGCCAGTATTCAGAAAAAATTGTCTGTCTCTTTTCATGGTCTATTTTATCTTGACAATTAAGTTTGCATTTGGACAATGGCCTGCAGACCCTAGCTCTTATCAATTTTCCCTTTTTTGTTGTATATTCCAAACCTAGGTTTCTGTTTCTCTTTCTTTCTTCTCTTACTGTTCGTGTTTCATTTTTAAGGGTCTTTTTTGCTTTTCTCTGTTTTTTGTTATTCTTCAAGTGTTCTTTGGAAGCAGTAGTGATATTTTTTGGTCTTTTAACATTGCTGATATAATCATTTCCCGAAAGACTTTTTCTTTTCCTTGAGCTAGTTGTGGGACCATCAGTGGAACTGCTATCTTCTGATGAACTGGAAGATTCGTCATCTGGGTTATACGCTTCTTCTGAACTAACATCATCTGATAAAGTTTCGTTTGGCAAATTTGCCTGACATGGCTCTTGAAATTGGACTGAAGTGTCTTCGTGTAATTCTAATCTTTGAAAATCATCTGGAAATTCTTCTTGCTGAGGAAAATCTGAATCTAAAAATAATATCAGATTCAAGTATTTTTTGTAAAGAAAAAACAACGTCAATTTAATAAGTATTGCTAAATATTACTAACCAGTGCTGTTAGTTTCCTCAGCAGATTTGGTCACAGAGCAAGGCAAAATATGCTCTTCGCACGGTTCTAAATAATCATCAACAGAAGTTAATGTAAATGTAAACTCTGGAAAAAAAATGGCATTAAAAAAACAAATCCGGTTAGGTAAGCACTAAATATTACTAACCATTACTGTTAGTTTCCTCAACAGTTTTACTCACTGTCGCAGATTTGGTCACAGAGCAAGGCAAAATATTCTCTTGGCACGATTCTAAATTATTATTAGCAGAAGCCAATGTGAATGTTAGCTCTGGAGGAAGAAATTTTATAATTATTATTCCCAATCTTTAGAAATATTGTCTTATGTACTATACCCACCGTTAGAAGCATTTAATTTTGTATTACGATTGTGTTGCATCATTTCTAGCTGATTTTCGGTTAGAGAACTTTCAGCACTGATGTGCGTATAGGGATTCTCTTTCTCATTATTAGCAGATTTTAATTGGTTTTCTAAAAATAAAAAAAATCACATTCATGTGAAAAGGGATATAAGTAAAAATATACCTACCGTCAAAAACATTTAATTTTGTATTCGCATTTTGTAAAATGGTTTCCAGCTCATTTTCGGATATACAACTTTCAGCAGTGATGTGAATATCGGGATTATCTTTCTTATCATTGAGAGATTTCATTTCCCTTTCTAAAAAATAAAGTAAATCGCATGTAGGTAGGTATGTGGAAAGAGATATAAGTAAAAAAAAATATTGTTGAGATCTTTACGCTAAATTATTATTGGAAAGCACCCTCCACAAAATAAAATATATTGTATAATTTGTTTACTTTTACTTACCTGCTTTTGCATTTGGTACCGGAGTAGCTTGCAGCGGCACTAATAATTTGAGGATGTGTTTAGTACGTTGTGACATCCTAACCTCAAATGTTTTTTTAATTTTTATTGAAATATTATTAACAAGAAATCAATAGAAAGAGCTGCCCAAAATATCACATACAAGTTACCGTGTACCATGTATACTTGAACAAAAAATTTGGCGCCCTTAAACAAGATAATTAAAGAAAAAAACGGAACAACCATCCCTCTCCACAGTATGAAGGCAAGTGAAGCAGCATAACAACGAGAAAAGGGATATATGTGCACATTATACCTTAACATTTTGCCAATAAATATGTCTTTAGTATATGTAAATAGGTATAAGTATACATATGCCGCTTTTCTCAAAAATATTATTTTTTATTTGTGGAGTTAATTTTGTGAAAAGAGGTATAAGTCTATTTGTTTCTCTTTACACATAAGTAATGTAAAATATTATCTGACATAAGTAAACATATACCCGTATACCCAAACATATCTCAAGATATTTATTATTGTTCTCGGGTACAAATAGACTTATTCCATTATTCACTTAAAATCTATTCAAGTCGTAGGTATAAGTTCACTTATCACCTTTTTCACAAAAATATAATCTCCAAAAGTGACTTATATCATTTTACACCATAGTGTATCACTGTATTATAATATTTTCTAGTTATATCCCTTCTCCCATACGTTGCCGACTACTTTCTGATGCATTTGGTATAAATAACTCATTTTAACTAGTTTTTGACTTATACCCCTTTTCACATACATGAGCCAATTGGTACTTTGAAGAGAAATTGTCTTTAAAATCACTACAGTTCATAGCGCTGATGCTTGCGCCGGAGTCAATTTGAATTTCACAGTTTTTGTTGTTAATTTTAGCAGGGACTAAAAATGGATTAGTGAAACCTTCGCCTAAGCTTGTTATTTTAAATAGATCTGCATTGTTTACTACTTCAGAGTCCAAATAAAATTGTTTCCTTTGTTTACATGCAATTTCTATGTGACCTTTTTTATTACCGTTTTTACAAGTAAAATTTGCAAATTTACATACCCCGTAGTGCTTCTTTCCACAATGATTACATGCCTCATAGCTGTTTTTTTTATTTTTACCTCCATAATAACCTGTATTTTTATTATTTTTGGTATTTTCGCCTCTATAACCCATCGGTCTGTCAATTTTGTTGTCGCGGCCATTGCTCCTTCTCCAATGCGGTACTGCTTCTACTGCGCCGTCTCTCCTAGTTCGTCCTTCACCATTTCGCGCTCCGCTTGCGCTTGCAGCGTTGCCGTTGTTTCCGCCGCTTCCATGCTGACGCGAAAACTTTGACAGCAAATTCACTTCTTCTTTTTCTGTTGATTCCCTCGTGATTGCTAAATCCACCATGTGTTTCAAACTTTGGGAAATGTCCTCTTCACACAATCGATCCAATATTCGTCTGTTGGTCATGCCAGATACAAATTTGCCCCTTAATACCTGCTCCAGGCTGCCTCCAAATTTGCAATTTACAGCCACACTCTTTATTCTGGCATACCATTCACCAGCGCTTTCACCGACGTTTTGGCTAGTTCCGTAGAACTTCAATCGCTCTCGCCATACCGAGACACGGGGGCTCAACTGCTTACTCAACAGCTCGCACAATTCTTCATATTTTTGGCTTTTTGGCAACGCAGGATGACACAAATCTCTCAAGAGCTTATATGTTGGGGCTCCGATTAAACTTATCAATGTAGCAGTCTTCATGTTATCTTCTTTGACGCTATTGGCTACAAAATACTGATCAAGCCTTTCAATATAAATTGCCCAATCTTCATGGTCGGAATTGAACTCGGCCAATAATTCCTGGTAACGCCATCTTGTTTCGACAACACGGCCGTACAAAAAAAAACGAACACGACAGATTAAAATATACGACGGCGCTGAGCTGCCATCGTAAAGCTAACTTTTTTTTCTAACATAATTTACAGTTGTATCTGTAAATTTACACTTCTATCTGTAAATTTACAGTTATATCTGTAAATTTACACTTCTAACTGTAAATTTACAGTTATATCTGTAAATTTACAGTTATATCTGTAAATTTACACTTCTAACTGTAAATTCACACTTCTATCTGTAAATTTACACTTCTATCTGTAAAATTACAGTTATATCTGTAAATTTACACTTCTATTTGTAAATTGACGATCAGCGTCGGTCAGCGTGGGACAGCGTCGGTTAGCGTCGGTCACTGTCGGTCGGTCTCGGTCAGTGTCGGTCAGTGTCGGTCCGTTTCGGTCAGCGTCAGTCGGCCAACACCGACCGACACTGATCGACACCGACCGACACTGACCGACACTAACTGACACCGACGGACAATGACCAACACCGACTGACGCTGACCGAAACGGACCGACACCGACCGACACTGTAAATTTGTAAATTTACAGATAGAAGTGTAAATTTACAGATATAACTGTAAATTTACAGATATAACTGTAAATTTACAGTTAGAAGTGTTTTACAGATATAACTGTAAATTTACAGATAGAAGTGTAAATTTACAGATACAACTGTAAATTTACAGATAGAAGTGTAAATTATGCTAGAAAAAAAAGTTAGCTTTTCGATGGCAGCTCAGCGCCGTCGTAAAAATACGCACACACGACACTACTTTTTTTTTTCGTTACTTTACCGATCTTTATAATATTATTTCCGCGATTTCCACTTTTCTCGTCGCCATTTATCGTATACTGAAGGTGGAATAAAACATCGACTTCAGCTTAAGATTTATTATCACAGATTTTAAAGTTAAAATTGAGGTGTAGAGTGAAATAACTGAAATAATGCCGGAGATGTGGTTCGTGTCAAGACCAGTGGAGAAGAGAGAGAATCTCGTTTCCCTGACGGGGAAAGAGGCTTTGAGTGCTGTGCTCGTAGTGCAAGGTTGCCACGTCCTCGCATAAATGATGATGAGTTTGTACAGGATGGGCATTTTATTAGGGGCCTATGTCTTTTCTCAGAAACTACAGGGTGTACAAAAAAATATAAATACAAAAGTTTCTTGGTTTTAAGCAAAGTTGTCAATTATTTGAGTTTTATTTATACAGGGTGTCCCAAAAGTGCTGCACCGACTTCAAAACCAGAATTTTAAATGGAACACCCTGTATGTTATTGCATATTTAGATTCTACGTAAAATTCTGTGCAGATTTCATGTAATATACCCTTTACCTAAGTTCAACTGTTTTGGAAATATTGACAGTTGAAAATTGACTTTCTGCAACTTTGACAGGCTGTAAAACCTAAACGGTTAATTTTAGATAAAAACCTATTTTACATTCCCATCTTAGATTTTTATGAACTATCATTTGACACCAACTTTGAATTTAACCGGAGATTAAATTTAACTGGAATTTTTAATCATGGATTAAATTCAAAGTCGGTGCAAATGATAGTTTATACAAATCTAAGATAGGAATGTATAATCGGTTTTCGTCTAAAATTAACCGTTTAGGTTTTACAGCCTGTCAAAGTTGCAAAAAGTCAATTTTCAACTGTCAATATTTCCAAAACAGTTGAACTTAGGTATAGGGTATATTACATGAAATCTGCTCAGAATTTTACGTAGAATCCAAATATGCAATAACAAACAGGGTGTTCCATTTAAAATTCCGGGTTTGAAGTCGGTGCAGCACTTTTGGGATACCCTGTATAAATAAAACGCAAATAATTGACAACATTGCTTAAAATTAAGAAACTTTTGTATTTATATTTTTTTTGTACACCCTGTAGTTTCTGAGAAAAGACATAGGCCCCTAATAAAATGCCCACCCTGTACATCACTATTGTATTTTTCGAACCAATAACTGTTGTGTTGGATTTTTTTTAAAATCCATTTTCTAAAATGAACCCAGCAGGCGGTAAGTTTAGCGTTGGGAAATATATTTCCCAAAGCCTTGATAGATGCTATTTCAAAATCAAGCATAATATTTTCTGGTGCAACATCTGGTCGAAAAGTTTTTATTGTTTCAAAAAGGTATGTATATATTTTCTCAGTTTTTTTCGGTAAAAAGGCGTATACGACACACAAACACAAACCATCGTTTTTTGCAAGAATGGTGTAAATCTGTTGAAATAATGTTTGGGCAACCTTAAAAGTGCCATCACAAAACCAACTTTTGCTTGAAGCCAAAAATTCTAAGTTTTGTTCGGTGGAATACAGTAAAATTCTATCTTCACTCTTTTTAGGATCGTCATGCAGTAGAAATCTCGTTTTTCCAACAAACTGCAAAGATTCTGGGACTTCCAGTTTTAATAATGATGTTACGTTTGTTAGCACTTGTTGATTTTTCATTTTTTCTCTTTTAATTGTCCTTTTAATTGACTTATTTTTGGCAGTTTTGCTAGGACAGGACCATCGACATCATTACACACAGAAGCAATGATGTTTTGAGGATTAAGCAGACTTTTTGTAGACAAATCTTTAATTGCTGATATCACTTTTTATCTCGATATCTATTGGATCACCTAGGTGATTATGCTCATTGACTTTTTCAATTACTTCATTATTGTGTTTGGATTCTTGCCTTGCAGTTCAAATTGTCGTAGCTCTTGCATTTCCATAGGATTCGTTCTTTATATCTTTTTTCTCTTCTATATATGAAATTTTCATATATAGCTAAATCATTTCCCTTGGCACTTTTTTGGCTTTTTATTTGACGGGACATTTTGATACACACTAAAGTATGGTGCCGACACCAGCAAATCAGACGCCGAATCCCAAGTCTTAACCCAGTCACGCTGCCGTAAGAAATCTGCCAGTAGCGACAAAAACGCCAGCAACCGCAGAATGAAAAAATGCAAAAAACAACAGTGCCAGCGACCACCTCGGTCATAGTCTCCAGCAGAAAATCATCAGGTGAGCCAGTAAAAACCTTACCCACCGCCAACCCCACTGTCAAAAAGGGGTTTCAAATCAAACCGCCAACGCCCGTCGAGATTCCGGCCTCCCAACCACCAAGGGCAAGAGTCTCGCCAATTGTGCTTAGAAATAAGCACAAATATAATGAGA